AAGATCCCAGCCAAATTCAAACTGCACAATGACCCTACAGATTTGATGACTTATCCATCATCGCTGCTAGTCCATAAGAACCCAATGAGGTAACATGCTTGGCTGCCCTGGTAATTAAAGCAACAGAGATTTAAAAGGTTAAATGACTTGGCTCCCCTCCCCAACACAGTACTGAGGGAAAGACTTCTGATTCCTAGTGCTTGCTCTCTATAGCAGAAAGCCACAGTAAGAAGCTACTGGAGAGGAGCAGTTGACAAAGGGATCCCAGCAGTCTTAGGGGTAGATCCTATCCACATGGAGGAGATACAATGGAAGTTTTTTAAGCCTCTTCATTTGGCAAGGTGAACCAGACTGCCAGCGACGGTGGCCCTGGACTGCCCTTGGCTCTGGTATCTCTGAAGCAGGGCAGTGGCCATGAGAATTAGGAAAATGAGTGGTTAGGAAAATAGTTCTCTCCACCGACGGTACCATTATATTCCCTCCATCTTGGGGTGTGGCGTGCTTGAGTGGCTATGTGAACTGTACTCCACCTCTCCATACAGACACAATGAAGAATTTTAGACAAGATCATTTAAGTTGGGCAACTGGCTAACACTTCAGGAACCACATTGGTGCTGGTATGTGTCCCCACCTGGAATCACAATGCACTGGAGAGGGCTGGGCAAGCCAGGCTTGCATCAGATAGGCACAGAGCCCCGGGCCCCACAAGGAAGCCAGAATCCTGGGTGCAACTCACAATAGAGCTCATACCCAAGAGTAGAGCTTGCACTGCCACCAGCCTCAGCACTCTCACTAGACTAAAGGCTGAAATTTGGGCTCTGGAACTGGAGTGCCAGAACTGAAATACAACCGCTTTCTGTGCCTTAGGTGTGTTACTTTACCTCTCTGAGCCTCTTTTTTTTAAGATTTTTACTTATTTGAGAGAGAGCGAGCGAGAGAGCACACACAAGTGGGGAGGAGAGGGAGAAGCAGGCTCCCCAGGAAGCAGGGAGCCCAATGCAGGGCTCGATCCCAGGACCCTGGGATCACGGCCTGAGCTGAAGGTAGATGCTCAACCCACTGAGCCACCCAGGCACCCCTCTGAGCCTGTTTCATCATAAAATGGGAATAACCTTCCTGTTAAGAGCTATTCAGAGGGGGCACCTGGGTGGCTCAGTGGGTTAAGCGTCTGCCTTCAGCTCAGGTCACGATCATGGGGTCCTAAGACTGAGCCCCGAATCGGGCTCTTGCTCAGTGGGGAGCCTGCTTCTCCCTCTCCCTGCCGCTCCCCCTGCTTGTGCACTCTGCCAAATAAATAAATAAAATCTAAAAAAAAAAGAAGAGCTGTTTGGAGTAAATGTAAAGCACTCAACTGGCCATTCCTATCACAAATGAACTGTGATGTGGGCAAGCAAAAGAGAAGGTTCCACCCCTTCTGGAGCTCACCAGTTAGTGGAGTAGGTATACTCTCAAAGACACAAATCTATAATGATAAACTATCAAGAGGGCTATGCGTGCAGAAAGGTAAAGGAGAGCTGCTATCACGCTCTCTCTAGTCCTTCAAGGATTCCAACTCCCCGTCCTTCCATTTCTTACCCAGTTATGAGACCTAAAGACAAACCCACTTGCTCAGCCCTTAGGGATCATCAAATCTCAAAGCTAAAGGGCCCGCCTAGGATATCAAACAGTTCTACTTTCTCTGCTTTTTACTGACTGAACTCTTATGGGATAGGGCACAACTCCAGCCCTAAAAGTGGCTATCCACCAATCCTCTGGTCTTACCCCAGGGCCTGGTTCTATGCTGGCACTCATTTCTTGAAAGACTATGACTAAGGCAATGAATGGATGGGGACAAGGGCAGAAGGTATTATGTTCTCAAGAGGAGCACAAAACTCAAACGATAGCTTACATATATCCATTTATTATTGTCTGTTATGCATCAGGCACTGTTGCCTGGCACAGGGGCAAATCCCTGTTCCCCTCGCTTATAATTTTGTGAGGAAAATGTTCAATAAATAACCAAAGAAAGTGGGTTAAGTACAAAACACATAATTTGGGCACAATGGTAGGGAAAAACGGAAGGAGGCATCTACTTAGAGGTTGACAGGGAGGACTCTCTGATGCTTGATCCTGAAGCTAAGATCTTATGGATAAGAAATTAGCCCTAAAGTGGTTAAGGGGAAAATCCTTCCAGACACAAAAGAAGGCCTGAGGGAGGAAAAATGTTTCGTGAACTAGGATCTGAAAGGAAGGCCAGTGTGGTTAGAAAAAGATGGGTGGGGGGCGCCTGGGTGGCTCAGGCAGTTGAACGGCCAGCTCTTGATTTCAGCTCAGGTCATGATCTTGGTCCTGGGATTAAGCTGTCCTCTTTGGGCTCCACGCTCAGTGGGGAGTCTGCTTGAGCAAGATTTTCTCCCCCTCCGCCCCCCCCAACTTGCACACACTAAAAAAATAATCTCTAAAAAAAATAAAAAAGGAAGGAAGAAAGAAAAGAAAAAGATGGGTGAGGGGGAAAGGTCCTGAGATTAGAGTGGGTTGAGGCCAGACATTTCAAAGCATTTTAGGCTAAAGTAGAGGATTGGCACTGTTCTAAAAAAAAAAATGGAAAACTGCTGAAAGGTTCTAAGTTATGGAGTAACAATCAGATTTATATTTAACAAGATCATCCCAGCTACTGAATGGAGATAAACTGAAGAGAAAAAACAGGAAGATAGAAGACAGGCCAGGAGAAGGCTACTACTGTATGTAGTAGTCCTGGGTGGGAGATGAGTATATGGTCTTGACTATCACTGTGGCACAGACATGGACACAAGTGGCAATATTTGATATAAAATGAACAAAAGAACTGATAAGAAATGAGAAATGAGAGAAGAATCAAGGATGACTACCAGCAATCTCCTTGGAGCAATTTCGTGGATGGAAACACTATTTAAAGATATGGGAGGGGCGCCTGGGTGGCTCAGATGGTTAAGCGTCTGTCTTTGGCTCAGAGGTCATGATCCCGAGAGTCCTGGGATCGAGCCCCGCATCGGGCTCCCTACTCCATGGGGAGCCTGCTTCTCCCTCTCCCACTGCCTGCTGGCTTCCCCTGACTGTGCTCTGTCAAATAAATAAAAAAAAGTAAAAAAAAATTAAAAAAAATTAAGAAATAAAGATATGGGAAAGACTGGAGGAGAAGTCATTTCGGAGTGGGAAGACTCAGGAATTCTATTTCAGACATATCAAGTCTGAGCGTACTGACAACCATGGAGGGGCGCCTGGGTGGCTCAGTTGGTTAAGCATCCAACTCTTGGTTTTGGCTCAGGTCATCTCAGATTCATGATGAGAGCCCTGGGTCAAGCTCCACAATCAGCACAGAGTCTGCCTGAGATTCTCTTTATCCCTCTCCCTCTCCCCCCGCCCCCACTCGTGCACCCTCACTAAAATAAATCTTTGGGGGTGCCTGGGTGGTGCAGTTGGTTAAGCATCTGACTTAGGCTCAGGTCATGATCCCAGGTTCCTGGGATCGCGCCCCGCGTCAGGCTCCAAGCACTCAGCAGGGAGTCTGCTTCTCCCTCTCCCCCTGTTCATTCTCTTTCTCTCTCAAATAAATAAAATCTTAAAAAATAACTCTTTAAAAAAAAAAAAAAGAAGACAACCAGAGAACTCTCTGTAGGTCTCTGGATCCCTGAACTCTGAGCACAGAGGAGAGGTTTGGGACAAAAGAAGTAAATTTCATTTTTCAGCATCCAGATCAGCGTAATCCAACAGAAATAGAACGTGAGCCACAAATGCAAGCTACATATGTAGTTGACCCTTGACCCCGTGTAGCCAAAAATCCACATACAACTTTTGATTCCCAAAAAGCTTAACTACTACTAAACCTACTGTTGACTAGAAGCCTTACTGAGAACATTAAACAGCTGATTAACATGAATTCTGTATGCTTTATATATTATATATTGTATCCTTACAATAAAGCTAGGAAAATACTAAGAAAATCTGTAAGGATGAGAAAACACATTTACAGTACTATACTGTATTTTACTGGAAAAAAACCATAGATAAGTGAACCCACAGTTCAAACGCATATTGTTCAAGGGTCAACTGTAATTTGAACACTTCTAACAGCCACATTTAGAAAAATAAAAAGAAAACAGGTGAAATTAACTATTTAATAATTTTATAAGTTTTATAATATATATTCAATGTATTATTTCATGTAATTTGATATAATGAGCACTTAAAAATGAATGTCTTACATTATTTTTCATACTAAGCTTCTGAAACCCCATGGGTATTTTACACTCACAGCACCCTATAGGTGTGTGGCTATCCTATTGGTCAGCACAACTTCAGATGGTATACAAAACCAAAGGAATTAATAAAATTGCCTAGAACAGGGTTTCAACCCTAGCACTATTGAGATCTGAGGCTAGGTGATTCTTTGTGGGGAGTAATTCTTCCCTGTGCATTGTAGGATGCTTGGATGTATCCTTGGACTCTACCCACTAGATGCCAGGAGCATCCCCCCAGTTTTGACAATTAAAAACTTCCCATTGCCAAATGTCCCAGCAGATGGTGGGGAGCGGAAGAGGGATTTCAGTGATTGAGAACTACGGACCCAGAAAGAGACTGTAGATAGAAGAGGGTCCAGGAGAACTCTGGGAACATCCAGACTTAGCATCCACCTTAGGTAGTATACATAGGGGAATTAAAAGGAACAAAAAGGAAGGAAGGGGTGTGCTGATTTCGCGTTAAGATCTGAGAGATCCAGTTTCTAGCACATCAAAAAAAACCAACCAATGTCTATAACAGCTACATCAAGAAGTCTCCCCACCATCACTTGTAGTAAGTTTTTCTCCTCTTTTCTGACCCTCTCCCTCTAGACCAAGGAATACTCATGAAGTTTCAAAAGCATATACCAAAGACCACTGACTGTCTTCAAAGAAAAATTCCATATATCTTTTTGGAAGACAGTGGCAGTTATCCACATTAGAGGAAACCATGGGAACAAATTCAAATCTCAAATTTCCATTGCCTTTTTTTTTTTTGTTAGTTGTTTATTTATCAAGACAAACTATTCCATAACCCAATATTTGTGTTTCATAGTTCAGGAACACAGGTCAGTGACAGACTTCAATGGAACTCAACCCAAAGAAATTCTTTACATTCCAAAATCACTTTGCACTCTGAAAGATACCAGCCTTCTTCATCTCCTCAAAATCTTTCATGGAATCATAATTTCTATAGAAATCTGCGTATGCCTTCTTTCTTGGTTTGGCCACAGCAAACTTATAGAAAGCTGGAACCCCCAGGGATACAGCGAACGCTCCAACAATTGAAATCACAGACGCTTGGCCAGAAGGCCTCGCATCTGAGGTTTCGTCAAAGCACTGGAAGTCATGGTAGTTATTCTCAACACTAACCTCAAACCTAACATCCTCCCTGATACAGAAATGGACGGCGTTCCATCAGTGCCTTCCATTGCCTTTTTGACACAGACTGCCTGCTTGGGCATAGAGAAGAAAAGTCGGGGGCTGGAGATGCACATTTGGGAATCTTCAGAATATAGATGATAGGTAAAGCCAAAGGAATTGGTGATACCACTAAAATGAGGAGCACAGAGAAAAGAGAAAATAGAGCCCAGCTTCATTTTTACTGCCCTGAAATCGTATCAGCTTTTCACCTTGAAAACCCAAACCTGCTGTTTAAAAAAAAGGGGGGCGGATTTTAAGAAACATCTAGAGCCAGGTTAAATACTAAGGGAGAAGGGGCCTGGCTGTATAAAGTCCAGGATACTGTATGGCTGAAGCCCAGTGAGCAAAGGAGTAGGACAGAGAGCACTGAGAAGTGGGGCAGATCATGCAGGGCTTTATAAGCCTTTCACTGGATTCTGACCTTGAGTGAATGAAAGGAAGAGTCCCTAGATGGAGTAGAGGGATTAAGGGGTGGGGTGTTTGACATTATATGATTTGCATTTTAAAAGCATCACTCTGGGAGGCACCTGGATAGCTTAGTTGTAGAGCATGGAGCTCTATCTCCAGGTCCTGAGTTCAAGCCCCATTTTAGGCGTGGAGCCTACTTAAATAAATTAAATAATAATGGTAATAGTAAAATTTAAAAAAGGATCACTCTGGATGCTATATTGTGAACAGATGGTAGATAAAGGATCCTCTGGTTGCTGTATTGTGGACAGACAGTAGATAATGTAGAAGCAGGGACATCAACTGGGAAAGAACTTAGGAAATCCAAGTGAGAGAAAACAGTGGCTCTTACCAGAGGGCCAACAGTCCAGAAGATTGTGAGAAGTAAAACCAGCAAGATTCCTAAGGGATTGAATGTGGGTGTAACCAAGTTCTTGGCCAGAATAACTGAAAGATGGAGTCTCCATCAACTGAGATGACGGAACGGTACAAGAGGAGTGGTGAATAGAAGGGGATACTTATCAGAAGATCAAATTTACACAAGTTTGGAAAATACCAGATGCTCAAGCAAAAATATCAAACTGGCAAGTAGGATATGAATCTGAAATTTGGAAGATCTGGACCAGAGACTTAACTTGGGAATGTTGATATATAGATGCCATTTGAATCCACAGGATCACCAAAGACCCAGAGCTGAACTATGGAGCCTCTAACATCAAGAGATTAGAGAGAGAGAGGAACCAGCAGAAGAAATTGAAAAGGTAGAAAAACCAGGTGTTGTGTCCTGGAAGTCAAATGAATTAAGTGTTAAGGAACAAAGTAATCAACTATGTCAAATACTAATACCAAAGATAGAAGTAGGTAGATGAGAACTAAAAATTGACCAGGGGCTGAGGGGATTAACTGCAAAGCAGCACTAGGGCCTTTTGAGGTGACAAAAATGTTCTTCATCTTGTAATTTATCAGTCTGTCAAACTGTATTCCTAAAACCAGTGTTATCTTACCTCATGGAAAGAACACCTCAATAAATCCCTTTTCTTTATAAAAGGTGTGTCACCCTTAAAAACAATACAAGACTATTTCACTCAAGAGTAAAGGCCAGGGGCGCCTGGGTGGCTCAGTTGGTAAGCATCTGCCTTCGGCTCAGGTCAGGGTCCCAGGGTCCTGGGATCGAGCCCCACATCGGGCTCCCTGCTCCACGGGAAGCCTGCTTCCCCCTCTCCCACTCCCCCTGTTTGTGTTCCCTCCTTCGCTGTGTCTCTGTCAAATGAATAAAATCTAAAAAAAAAAAAAAAGAGTAAAGGTCAGGGGCACCTGGGTGGCTCAGTCAGTTAAGATCTCTCCTGGGGGCGCCCGGGTGGCTCAGTTGGTTAAGCGACTGCCTTCGGCTCAGGTCATGATCCTGGAGTCCTGGGATCGAGTCCCGCATTGGGCTCCCTGCTCAGCGGGGAGTCTGCTTCTCCCTCTGACCCTCCTCCCTCTCATGCTCTGTCTCTCATTCTCTCTCTCAAATAAATAAATAAAATCTTTAAAATAAAATAAAATAAAATAAAATAAAATAAAATAAAATAAAATAAAAAGATCTCTCCTGGGATTGAGTCCTGCATCGGGCTCCTTGCTCCGAGGGGTGCCTGCTTCTCCCTTTCCCTCTGCCTGCCGCTCCCCCTGCTTGTTCTCTGACAAATAAATAAAATCTTAAAAAAAAAAAAAAAAAGAGGGGGCACCCGGGTGGCTCAGTCGGTAAAGTGGCTGCCTTCTGCGCAGGTCGTGATCTCAGGGTCCTGGGATAGAGCCCCACATTGGGCTCCCTGCTCAGTGGGGAGCCTGCTTCTCCCTCTCCCTTTGCTGCTCCCCCTGCTTGTGTGCACGCTCTCTTTCTCTGTCAAATAAATAAAATCTTAAAAAAAAAAAAAAAAAAGAGTAAAGACCAAACAGGTCTTAGATGATCTGCCCCATCATTTAAGGATCTAACCTCCTCTACTACTCTCTCCCTGTCACTCCACTCTTGCACCTATCAGCCTTACTATTAAAAAAGGCCAGCTACAATCCCACCTTGGGCCTTTGCTCAAGTTGTTCTCTCCACTTAAGAATACTAGAAGTCTATTTGGCTAACCCTTACCTCATTCAAATCTGCTCAAATCTGTTTCTCAGTGAGGCTGGGCCCCCTATTTATCACTGTAATCTGCACACATACACTGCTCTCACTCTAACACTCCATACTCAACTCTTCCCTTTTTATTTTTTTTAAAGATTTTATTTATTTATTTATTTGAGAGAGAGAGAAACAGCAGGAGAGGGGAGAGGGTCAGAGGGAGAAGCAGGCTCCCCGCCGAGCCGGGAGCCCGATGCGGGACTCGATCCTGGGACTCCAGGATCATGACCTGAGCCGAAGGCAGTCGCTTAACCAACTGAGCCACCCAGGCGCCCCTCAACTCTTCCCTTTTTAATACAAAGCCATTTCCTGGGGCGCCTGGGTGGCTCAGTCGTTAAGCATCTGCCTTCAGCTCAGGTCATGATCCCAGGACCCCGGGATGGAGCACTGCATGGAGCTCCCTGCTCACAGGAAGGCTGCTTCTCCCTCTCCCACTGCCTCCTACCCCTACTTGTGTTCCGTCTCTCGCTGTCAAATAAACAAATCTTTAAAAAGAAAAAATTAATACAAAGCTATATCCTAACACACAACTTCCTATGTTCACTGTTTCCTTGAGTCATGAGGACTAACGCAGAGGAGGAACCACCACACCGCCACAATGCGCATGTGACATAAGAAATAAGCCTCAATCTTTTCAGTTAAAAAAAAAAGGGACCACATGACTTAGCAACATAAAATCACAAGCAGTGTTCTTGTGGAATGGTAGGGGTGAAAGTCTGATTAAAGAGGTTTAAGGGGATGCCTGGGTGGCTCAGCCAGTTAAGCATCTGCCTTCAGCTCAGGTCATGATCCCAGGGTCCTGAGATTGAGTCCCGCATTGGGCCCCTGCTCAGCACGGAGTCTGCTTCTCCCTCTACCTGCCGCTCCCCCTGCTTGTGCTCGCTCTCTGACAAATAAAATCTTTAAAAAAATAGGGGCACCTGGGTGGCTCAGTCGTTAAGCGTCTGGCTACGGCTCGGGTCATGATCTCAGCGTCCTGGGATCGAGCCCCGCATCAGACTCCTGGCTCCGCGGGAAGCCTGCTTCTCCCTCTCCCACTCCCCCTGCTTGTGTTCCCTCTCTCACTGTCTCTCTCCGTCAGAAAATAAATTTTACAACATCTAAAAAAAAATAAAATAAAATCTTGAAAAAAATAAAGAAATAAAGAGGGTTTAAGAGTGGGTGCCTTGGGTGGTTCAGTCAGGGGAGCATTTGCCTTCGGCTCAGGTCATGATTCTGGGGGAAGCCTCCTTCTCCCTCTCCTTCCCGCTCGCTCTATCCATCTCAAATAAATAAAATCTTTAAAAAATAAAGAGGGTTTAAGAGAAAATGGAAGGCAATAATTAGAGACAAAACCATAGAAAATGCTCTTGAGGAGTTTTGCTACAAAAAGGAGTGAAGAAACGAAGTGGTGGTAACAAGCAAGAGAAGACATAGTCAAGAAATATTTTTAATGGGAATAACAATATTTGAAATGCTAGTAAGACTGACCCAGTAAAGAAGAAAACTGGATGATAGGAGAAGGAAAGAACAGCAGCAGCGAGTTGGGCCCTAAGGTATTAAGTGGGGGCACTGGCAGCAAGCGAACCAGAGGGAATGTGATGTGATGTGGCTGCAGATGCTGGAGGGGCCCAACTGTGATGAGAAGACTGAATTCCCTTCCAATTGCTTGTTTTCTCAGTAAAGTAAGAGTAAAGTAGGCCAGTAGCTGAGTAAGCCTAAGAGAGGACGTGAAAGAGACTGAGAATGGACTAGGGACCTGTGCTCCTGATTGCCTGGCAGAACCACGGGTCTACTCGAGACAAGGTTTGTGAACATTCTTCCAAGTGAGACCAGTCACTGAGACTGTTTTTCTCCATCACCTTCAGCCTCATCAATCAAGTGACTATGAACAGATGAACTGGATTTAATCTGGGATGTGGTTCTGCTAAGTGTGTATGATGAAGCTGGGGGACTGGGTAGTCCCAAGGTTTGCAAGGAAAAGGATGTAAGCAAAGAAATGATAATGACTGGCATGTATTTCAAGCTGGGTAAGGAAGTGAGAATATAAGAGGGTGGGGGACAATGAAAAGTTGGACCAATGAATTAGAAGTTCCAATGGGATCGAAGAGTTGAAATATTGAAGAAAGCAATCTGGAAAGACACAAGATGGCTGACATAAGAAAAGGAAGTAAATTTAAAAAATTAAGAGGTTGACATTTTAGAAGGATGGTTTCCAAACCAAAAAAAAAACCCCAAGACACCCTTCCGTATCAGTTGGTGCACCACTGATGTGATTTACCCATTGGTGAAGGGGGAAAATAATGCCAGTCAGATTTATCCACTTCCTACCTTAAAAGATATCCAACACTAAAACCTAAAGGAAATTTGTTTCAAGAAACATTTTTATGACTAATTTAACTGATTTTTGATGATGTCCAGCTACCATTTCCATTATTCAGTTTGATAAAAGCCCATCATTATGGTTCTAACATAACTTTCTAAATCCAGTTATATGAGCTACATAAGAAATTAGTTTCTGATAAAAAACCACCCACCAATAGGAATGCTGGTCTACATAATACATCATGCCATGTAAAGTCTGTCAAATAGTTTAGTTTAGTGAAATAAGGAATGGAAGGGGCTGTTTTTGCTGTAGCTTAAGAATGTACAAGAACTAGATGCCAAGAAGGGAAAATAAAAACAAAACAAAAAACCCATGGCTCTGGACACCCAAGAAATTAAGACATCTGCTAATATAGCACTATAATCTATAACTTGACCTACAACCAGTATGGAAAAGCCACCTGGGTAAAGGTTCAGCAAGTCTACCCTCAGCTGAAAACCTGGGAGATTAAGATCTCCACTCAGGACAACATAATGACGCGTAACTTGGGCCAAGTCTAAGATGTATTCTGCAGTCAGATAGCTTACACATTGTAAAAGGCCTACTTCAAGGAAAAGGCCATAAGACCTGGGTAAAGAATAACTCCTAAGAAAGCGAATATAAGAAAAGGCCAAATAGGCCAATGCACAGATGGAACAGGAGCAGCCAAATCAAGTAAAATGAGCCCTTTCACCAAATATAAGTTTTGTCTTAAGATTGCCAATGAGTATAATTTGCCAAAGAAAATTTCAAAAGTTAAGGGGTTAAAACTTACGTGTCTGCCCCCAGGTTGGTATGCATGCTTTCCACCAGAGCTAGAAACAGTGTTATAGAGAAGAAACGGGTGAGGAGAGAAAAATCAGTCTCATCCATCTTGACTAAGAGCCAAGATGGGTCCCTGTAGGCCCAACCCTGATAGAGAAGTCCTGGGCATTGCCACAAATGGATTGGGGAGCACCATCAGTTCTTCATCAAGTTCTGTAGGCTGAATCCTACAGAATGAATCCTGAAGGACAGGCATGCCAACCCCAACAAATCTGATTAACACTCCATAAAGTAAAGCCTAAGTACTTTATTCAGATTCACAAGGGTTGATTTTGCTGCCAGGCCAACCCCTAGAGGCTATGATTTAATAATTAGTCTAAGGCAGTGGTTCCTCCCTGGATAAGCAGGGTTTGTTAGAGAAGGTAGGAGGCATCCATGTTCTGTTCATTCCAGTCTTTTGTCAAAAAGGGTGCTAAAATTTCTTCCTTACAATCAGAAAAGGAGATATGATGTTCTAAATAGCATTATTTTCATCCCTTCGTTCCACTGCAATTAAACTGAGATTTGTTTCAATTTGTTCCCCAACTGAGAGGCCATCCAGAAAAAAAGGTTAGAGATCTACATCACACTTTATACAAATAAATTCCAAAGATTAAAATTCTAAACTTAAAAAATGAAACCATAAAAGTACCAGGAAAAAAAGTTAAGAATTTTCTTATCTTTTTCAAGTGCAGAAATCCCAAGTATGATGCAAAATCCTCAAATCCTAAGAAAAGGCTGGAAATTCAACTACCACACATTTAATTTTTCTACATAACAAAAACATCATGAAGTGACAAACTGGAAAAAAAACACTAGCAACTCAGATCACAAAGTTAGGTTCCTAAACTTATGTATTGCTTCCACAAATTAATAAAACCAATACCGTGTTTTTAAAAAGGTTAAGGACTAAGGATATGAAGACAAAAAGGAAATATAAATGGCTGTTAAAAATAGAGATGATCTACTGCACTCATAAAAACAGCAGGGCGCCTGGGTGGCTCAGTCGGTTAAGCGTCTGCCTTTGGCTTGGGTCGTGATCTCAGGGTCCTGGGATCGAGCCCCGCATTAGGCTCCCTGCTTAGTGGGGAGTCTGCTTCTCCCTCTCCCTCTGCTGCTCCCCCTGCTTGTGCTCTCTATCAAATAAATTACTAAAAATAATAATAAATAAATGAATAAATAAATGAATAAAAACAGCATCTATTAAGTTGGAAAAGATCAACAATGCACTGGATTAGGGTTTAAGAAAACATTTTCATTACCTTGCTGGCAGGAATATAAACTGTAGTAACTTTTTTTTTGGTAAAGAGTTTAATTTTTTTTAGGATTTTATTTATTTGAGAGTGAGAGAGATAGGGAGAACAGGAACACAAGCATGGGGAGTAGGAGAGGGAGACGCAGGCCTCCCACCAAGCAGGGAGCCCAATGTGGGGCTCGATCCCAGGACCCTGGGATCATGACCTGAGCCAAAGGCAGACACTTAACGACTGAGCCACCCAGGTGCCCCAAGATTTTATTTATTTTAGAAAGGGGAGGAGGAACAAAAGGGGAGAGGAGAGAATCTCAAGCAGAGCATGGAGTCCAATGCAGAGCTCGATCCCAAGACCTGGAGATCATAACCTCAGCCGAAACCAAGAGTCAGATGCCTAATGGACTAAGTTGTATAGCTTTTGAGAATCTCACATGTACCAAAATGTAAAATGCCATTCCACCTCTATGAATATAGCTTACAGATACTTGCACTCATGCAACATAACCATATTTCATTTAATACAAAATGTCGATTTTTAAGGTGCATCATTATTTCACATACCACTAAAACCAAGGCACTGCTAATTAAACTATGGATATCAAAATACATTCAAATTTCAGAGATACTAGAAAACGTGAGGAAAATGTAAGAACTGATTAAATATGTAATCCTGTAACTTCATGTTAATTTCATTCCATAAAACTTTTTTCTTTTCAATTGAAGTATATATTCAAAATCTGGTTCCCCATCTTTGCCAGGTCTTCTGCATTTTTATAGATGGCACCATGGTCAAACTCTATAGGAAACGTTTTTTGGCATCTTAGCTTCCAGGCTTTCCAGGAAAAACTTCTTTGTTCACTACTCAAACCTGTTTTTCAAACCATTTCACGTCTATAAATAAATCAGAAGGGTCCTACACCAGCTCAAGCCAGTGGGTAAAAACTACCTTCCTCCTCTTGCAAAAGCATGGATGATATAGATAAGAATGGAAGTTCTATTCTATACTAAGGAAGCTCCAGACCCTCACACAGCTGGTTTTAACATTTCTTACATAGTGAAATTTAGAGAGGTCCCATCTTGTTGCATAATGGAGTAGGAACAACTCAGCTTGTTGGATAGAGGTACTCAATGAAACCAGCAGGCTCAGCCCTTAAAGGAAGAACCAGCCCTCGTGGACAAAGAAAAGAGTACTGTTTCCCTCTGTTGGCCTTGAGAAGTTAGACAAAACAGGAGCAGTAATAAAATGCTCAATTCAGTTTTTAAGGTTTACACCACTAGCTCAAGCACTTCCTTCTTTGGTGTCTTATCTCTGTGATAGACTACTAGCACCATCTCTGCCCTGTTATCTCAGAAATGCTATTTACTTGTCAATAAAGTAATACAAGTCCCTGCTCCTGTCAGTTGAAAAGATTCACTGAGTGTTTAGCCATCACCTCAGGCTTAAGAGAAAAGAACTGTTAGCATGACAAAAATTTACTTTTATCATAATAATCCATAAACATGGTTTAACAAATAGTACAAGGTTTTCAAGTCTCTTGCTTCATCCTCCCCAGAAAACAACTTTTTAGCTGTTCTTACCTTTATGGGACTCAATAAGATCGTCATTATTCTCCATTTATCACTTTTTAAAATTATCTGTTAATTTCTATTATTGAATGAGTTTTGCTCTTAGACATCTCATAACTCACCCATCCACACTTCCCCATTCTCCCAATTTAGTTAGCTGACAATTACTTGATGAACACTGCTGCCATGATGACTAGGCTGAGCCCCATAATTCTAATTTACAAGTTTTGGTAAAACACTTAACGTATTTTCATTTATTTTCTATGTACTTATTAGTAATGCAAGCTCCACACTCTTCAAATGAACCAAAAATTTCCTCACAATATTAAAATACAGGAATTTTTAAATTCTGTCTTGGAATTCCCTTCTGTAACTCTACTTTGCCCTGCTTCAACCAAGACTATACTGTTCTCCAAGCCCAAAGCAAAGGACTCCCGGGACTTCCCACTGTCATTATTCTGGGAATTCTTTTTTGCCTCAGCAGGAGACCACATGGAAAACAGCAGTACTGAGCAAACTTTACTCCAGTAGTTTGCAACAGCACTTAACACCAGCATGCTGGGGTGCCTGGGTGGCTCAGTTTGTTAAGGGTCAGCTTTCAGCTCGGATGATGACCCCAGGGTCCTGAGATCAAGCCCTGCATCAGGATTCCTGCTCAGCGGGGAGCCTGCTTCTCCCTCTCTCTGCTGCTCCCCGTTTGTACGCTGTGTCAAATAAATAAATAAAATCTAAGGAAAAAAAAAAGAACAATGCTAATGCTCTACCTCTCAGGACTCTATCCCCCTACAGTCTAGTTTATGTGCTTCGGTTAACTCTGGGCTAAGGAGCCTGGCTTAATTTGGCATTCACCCAAGTCAACCCCAATTTTGATGCCTGGAAGACTCTTTTACGTCAAAGTTAAGGCCTAACACCAAATCAAACCCCAGTATCACCCTGAAAACAGCTCTAAGTCCTATGACCCATCCAGAATCAGATGGGTTATATCTGGGCCAGATGCCAACGCTACAGAATAGTGTGACCATTCCCATCCCCACCTGACTTCCAGTGATACAACAATCATCTGCACACCCAAGACCTAGACAGAAAGCTACTTGCAGGGGCAAGGTGAGGACAGGTATCTTTGTCGTCTCCACAAGTGTACTTACACATAGTAGGTGACCAGTTAAGTATTTCATGAACTACAAAGCCAGCTCTCAGGTGGATGCTAAGCACACTTTACTCAACAGAAGGAATGGTGGAAGGCTACAGAAAATCCATGTATGAAAGCATTACTCTTAAACTACTGTAGGACTCCTGAGCTAAGTGATAGTATAATTTTGTCTATTTCACAGAGCAGACTACGTAGCCTCAACTCAGAGGTACACCTGACTGGAAGCTTAAACACTAATTTAAAAAAACTTTATTTAAATTGGACTTGCTGATATTTCAACATTAAGTTTTAGAATTCATTTCCACTGTTAATAGTGTTTTGCCTTTTAACAATAATTACAGAGCACAACAGGAATGGAGCATTAAACTAGCCCAGATTTTGACAATCATGAAAAACTGCTCTTAGGTTGTCTGTTAGAGGGAGACCATGCTCTCAAAGGAAAAAGAACGACTCCCTTTAAAATTTTAACCAAACACTATGTTTTATAGAGCAAAAATATATTACCTCCATATCTAATCTATGACATGCCATCACCACAGAAAAACTTTCTTCCACTAGTCACATCTAAGTAAAATTCCCTATTTGACATTTTGTACCCCCTACACCATAAGCTCCAGAACTATAGCCAGCACCTACAACAATACTTTACAAAATATCAAATTATTTGTTGAAGCAATGAATACTGTTAGTCTCCATCTTCTGAAACTTGCCAATTCCACCCCTTGGTACAGCAGGGGTGTACCAATCGAAGTGCCGAAGAGTGATGGGTCCAGCTTTTCAGAGAAAAGGGGATCAAAGTAGGCACCACCCTCCAAGAAGTGGGAATGGCAGACCCAGCCAAGGAAGATAAAAGAGACAAATGCAAGTAAAGTAACTATAGACTTTACTCACAATCTTCCCGTTATTGACCACTTCTTTATCTGTAGAAGCTAATAACTCTTTCAACCTTAATCCCCTTAACTCCACCAATAGTCTTCCTGGAACTGTTCTTAAATCACTAGACCTCCCAATCATAAACAGCTTCTGTGTTCAGCAATTATTTGTATTTTGAGGGTTAGAGGAATAAAACAGAATTTTCAGAAAAATGGTGCCTGGGAGTGTTAAATGAGAGAACACATAAATGACCAATCATGGGGTTTCGTACGGAGCAAACATTCAGTAAGTTACAAGTTTATACATACAGGGTTATTTCCATCTTGGCCATCTATCAATCAGCACCAGTCAGGTAGAAGCCTTAAGTAGAAAAATTGAGAAATCACCCAACTAAAGACCAGATCCTTTTTCTTAACTCCCATCACAACCCACCTTTCCTAAAGGCATACAGTAGGTGCTCAATATTTATTGAATGAATGGTTCTAGAAAATACCCTACATAATGCCTTACTATTTATAATGTTAAAACTGGAACCAAAGTACAGACAAAAAAAAAATCTGGAAGACATTCTATTTTGATAGAAACATGGAACTAGGAGGCAGTAGCTCTTTCTTGCACTCATTCCCAGGCACATTATTAAATACTCTGAAGCTCACTGTTGGGTCCTTTTTCTGTGCCTATCATTCTAAAGGCTCTAAGTACAAGTTAATGAGGTGCTAGTGGTACCATTCAGGTATTCTTTGGATTTTGGCAGAGCTATAAAAACAGATGGTGAAAGGCATCAAAAAAATGTTACTTACTGGCCTAGAGAAGCAGCAGAATGCTGACAGAACCACAACTTTATTTTTCCATATGGCATGAAAAATGAAAGCTTGACCTATTCCTTCAAACGCTTCCTTTTCCTAGAACTCTATCTTGGCAATAAATCAGGCTAGATGTACTGACTGGGTGGGTGGTTAGAATGGTAGTAAGAGGTACGTGATGACTGCTTTGCAAGCAGGGAAAGACCTATATCTCAAAACTACTATTAAGTAGTTGGTTTTATTACAATGGTAGACTAGTGGGAAGAAGTCTTTACTGGAATAAGGCTACCTGCCTGGGTTCTTCTGCACACGACCTCTTTCTCCTTTGGCACCTGTAAGTCCTATCTACAATAAAGTAACTGCAATAATGTTCACCCAGAGCTCAATGTCAAACTTTATACCCTCCCCTTCTCTTCCAGGAACAAATAAAGAATCCAGACACAAGCCCAAGCAAGAACTCTCTCAAAGCACACATACCCTAAGTTGAAAAACCATTTATTTCACGGAAAAAAAAAAAAAAGTTACCCAACTCTATGTGTCTACCCGCCACAAGCCTTCGGGCCAAAAAGACTCAGGAACAGGGACACTCTCATCAAGGTCATTCCCAAGTCCAACACCCACTGGAAGCAGGAGGCGGGGAGACAGCACAACCCCCACCACAGTTTCTGCACACAATGAGGCCTGCTGGGAGAACAGAACATAAATGGGAAACTACAGAAGTACTGAAGAACAGGAAGAACGGGAAAATGGGCAGGAAGGAGGAAAGGAAGAGGTGGTCTGAACTTAGCAAGGTAAATTAAGGTCCACGGTTCCTGAGGGACTGAACGTACAGAGCCGAGAACGTCCCGGAGATGGGGTACCACGAAGGGTGTATTCTCATGCACAACCGCAGCTCGGAATTTCAGCCCACACACATCCCACCTGAAAGAGAGCACAATACAGGGGCTTTACAGCAAAGCTCAAAAGGGCTTTCCTACTTAAAACTTCAAAGAACATCTTTATGAAGTCTGGTAACTTGACACTCCTTTTAAGTTTATTTGTACCCATCCCCAGTACCACAATAACCTCTAAAAGTGAAAAGAGCTTGATGGCCAAACAGTAACTGGGAAGGTCAAGCAATCCCAGGCTGGGGCCTTTCTCTAAATTAAACAGCAAATACTTTTTCATGAGAGTAAGCGAAGACAGTGTGTTTCTCTTGATGTTAACATTAGCATTCCTCACAAAAGGTTATGTCCACATCACAAATTATCACTAGAGGGCAGGAAAAAAAGAAAGGTTTCAATTAGCTCTCTGGGGTAAAAGTCAAAAGTATGTCTGAATCTGGGTTTACTACCAACTTCCAAGTTAAAAATCATTCAAGGTCTAGGTAAAAGTAGCATCAACTGAACAAACTTTAAGACGTGAGGGCATCCAATTCTGCCTAGTGAAGAAACTAAAAGAATGTAGTGGAGGGCATGTGTAAGCTACCTATCAAGTCATTCTTTCTTTTCCAGCCCTATCAGTGATTTCCTATCCAATAATCCTGGGTAAGTCATATACCTTCTGCCTTAACTGAAAGATGAGAGAATATCACTCAGCCTGTCATTACAAAGTTATGGACTGAAGGTAATGTCTGGGATACACTGGGGGCTACCCAAAACAAAGGGTGTTGAGAACCACCCTTTAATACAACAGCAATCTCAAACACCTAGAGCCCAAAGCTGGCAAGCATCAGAAAGAATATACTCAAGTAGAGCCAAATGGATCATGAGGCTCAAAATGTATAGCAGAGGAAAAAGCCAGAGGACTCCAGGTAGAGCTGGTGGTTCAAGAGTATTAAATGCCCAGGGGCGCCTGAGTGGCTCAGTCGGTTAAGTGTTTAAGTGTCTGCCTTCGGCTCAGGTCAGAATCCCAGGGTCCTGGGATGGAGCCCCGCATCGGGCTCCCTGCTCAGCGGAGAGCCCGCTTCTCCCTCTCCCTCTGTCTGCTGCTCTGCCTACTTGTGCTCTCTCTCTGTTAAATAAATAAAAATCTTAAAAAAAAAAAAAGAGTATTAAATGCCCATAACTAGTGGGAAGATGAGAAGGGAGTGATCTGCTTAAGGCGAAGCTCCCAACCCTTGTGTTCATGCAGATTTGTATTACTATATACCTTGAAGAAGTGGAGTAGGGATATCCAAAGATGGGACTGTTTTTAATTTAAAAAAATAAATAAATAAACAAAGTAAATAGGCTCTTACAGGACAGATTCAAAGACAGAGCAATGGAGGGGGCACTCTATTTAGGGAATGAATCTTGAGCTGAGTGGAGAAGTGGGATTTGAGTCTATGCCCCAGACTCCTTGTTGAAAGCTTTATAAAAATTAAGCTATCTTTTCTGCTCTCTGCCCCAACTTACCATCAAAGAAGTTTTTTCTGTAAAGCCCACAGGGAGTGAACTGTTCAGGAATGTCAGAAAAATGCTGCTTCAAGATTAAGATGATGCCACCTGGGCAGTCGTCATAGTAACTGGGACCCGAGCAGTGATGCCTAGTTAACTAGTTATCAATTTTGTGTTACTATAGGTCATATCCGACCTTTCGCATAGCACGAAGAACAGGAAACCTGCAAACCTTAATAATGTTGCAACCTAGGAATTTCAACAAAGGCTCTGAGAAACAGCACACCTCAGTCTGAATATATGGGTCCCAGGTTCAGTTCAATTACAGCACATAGGTGTGACCCAAGATTCATCACACCATTCTGTTTTTCCAGGCACAAATAGCATCACATTGACTCCCACTACTAGGAGGCCTGGAAAAATAGCCATGAGGGCTAAGGATGTTTGTTTATGTATTTCAAAAAGTTAGGTAGTGAAGGACTTCTCCCTAGCCTCTGAACCATGCTAGTAACCTTACCCTAACCCAGCAAAAGCAAGCAAGCAGGGCAGCCTAAGTGGAGCCTTTAGGCTGCAGGAGGGATGGCAAAACCAGAACAGGGGACACCCCACCGCTCTCACCTCAAGCCTTAAAAGGCTGAATACCGCGCCCGATCCGCATACTGCTCCCGCTCATACCGGGCCATGTCGTACAGGGAATTCCGCGCGGCCGCCGAAGCTTGGGACAACTCACTCTCATGCCCGTAACCGTAGCCCTCTCCAACAGTGGGGACTGGGGCTGTAGCGCGACGCAGGGGGCTCCGATCCCGCCCGTAATATGAAGTGGAAGCTGCAGTAACAGCAGCAGCGGCTGCTGCAGCAGCAGCAGCTGTAGCAGCAGCAGCTCCTGAGGTCGGCAACAGGTGTCTATCGTAGGGATCAAGAGAGGTGGAGGTGAGGTGACTGGCCATGGCTGTGTTCTGGACTTGTGGCAGCTGGGACAGGGTCTGCTCTGCGTAATTATACGCAGAGGCAGCTGCAGCCGCCACTGCCTCATAGGACCGGGCAGCACGGCAGCGCTTGTAGTAGGCATCGAGCGCTCCGTACGCGTTGTTGTAATACAACGAATCCCCATAGCTCATGGTGTAAGGTGTACGCACTGCTCCATATTGCTCATTATATTGCTCGGTAAAGTCTGCCACTCGGCCCGAACGATCTATCGGACACTCTTTGGACCAGTGCCCCTCTTTCCCGCACCGATAGCAGCCGCTCTGGTCTCCCATCCCGGGCGCAGTCCTAAGCCGGCTGGTGGACAACTGCACGTGCATTCGTTTGCCTTGAAGAAACAGACGCAAGAAGGGTTGCTATCACTCTTAGTCATAGCCCGCGCCCCTACCCCAGACACCGGTCATAGCAATGGCTTTACCTAGACAACTCTAATGCAGGACTCATTGCCAAAAGATTTAAACAAAACAAAAACAAAACAAAAAAGAGAGTCCACTATATAAATTCAATATAATGACCTGATTTCAGGCAAAGATCAATTAGATGAAGAAATGTTTCAGCTCTAACACTAGTTTAATGCTTGTGCCCAAAAAAAAGCCTTTCATCCTTTGCCAACTAACTGTAGACAAAAACTACCCTGAACAATGGCCTACTGTCAAAAGAAACTAAAGTAAGACTCCTCCACAAGATTCTGACATTTCCCATCTTCACTACCAAGACTGAGTTCATTAAGCAGAACAATGCAAAGGCTAGTCCTCTAGCTCCCCACCCCAAAAATCAAAGAGTAAGACCCAAACATCATCTGTGGCTGAATGTGACAGGCAAGTTTCAAGATTTCTGGGAAAAACACTCATGAATTGGGGGAAAAAGGACAATAAATACACACTGACGGACTGCCTTCCCCCTTAACGGAGTCCTTTAAATTAATGGTTCTGACAGTCATTCCACCAAAGATTCTTTAAAATCTGATAGCTAACTTTAGTGACCTCCTAAGGAAACAGGACAGACAATTCACAAGATGCCTGAATTTTTAGAAAGATTTTGAAAAACATGGAAGAAAAAGGGAAAGGAAGGTGAGAAAAAGAGAGAATAACCAGTAATAGTGGATCAAAGAGTTCATTTTAACAAGATTAAAATACTTTTTCTACTTAAACTAGAGATCAGAGAGATTCTAAGAATACACAAAAATACTATCTTTTGATGACAATTACAATTTATACTCTGGAAATAAAAAATACTACTTCTGGAAAACTTAACAAAAAAAGAAACTTTTCAAGAAGTTTAAGGGTTAAATCTTTTCACAGAAAGTTTCCAGCTAACAAGATCTACCGATTTATTGGTAAGCAAAATTCCACCAAAAACTTCCAATGCAATTGGCTATGATGTACCCAAACATGCAGATATGAAAAGTGAACGGTTAGAAGCAAAGGAGAGTCAACAAATAGGTCTTCTACTCATCTTAACAATACAGAAATTGGTAAACAGACAATTTCACATGCAAAATTAAAATCCTGGGAAGCTGGAAAAGAGAAAAGGAGGTGGAAGGATCAAACTACCCCAAAAAATCCTGCTGTAAACATTACAGTGTAGATACACTGCAAGTTAGGAGCTAAAATAAGCAATTAAGTACCTAACTGTTTTAAAGTGCTCACCTATGTCCCTCTGGCATTTGCCCATGGGACCATTTTGGCACCTAACAAAACAAGTGCAACCAAGGAACTAACCTTGCACATTCATGACATAAAGGTCATTAACTAACGCCCTGATCTAAGGATCTGTCAATTCCAAAGCCAGAAAAAGAAAATAAGTCTTTAAAAATATCTACAATTGAGGTCTTTTAAATGAGCAAACAAGAGAGAATACACCGAACACTGAAAAACTAAAAGGGTCAAAAGACCACCTTCATAAACACTGCTACTCCCTGTACACCTGAACAGTACTAAGGAGAATGACTAATAATAAGAAAAGCAGTGAAAATATAAATAAGCATAAAGAGTACCAGAGAGCCTATAGTTCATATGCCAAGAGTTATGCCATAAGGACAAGTTGTCCTGAATCAGTACACACACTGGCCTCCCCTTACACATGTAACTACTACAAGCAGACACAGCCACCCATTCTATGACTGGGTTAAAGTGAAGTGTGTCCAAAAATTAGGTATCATATCACAAACCCTCCACAAAAGCAGCCTTGACCCCAATTAAGTTGTTGACAGCAAATAATTCTCAACTTACCAATTAAAAAAGAAAAACAAACTAGACCTGAGAGACCAGTGACACTTTTCTTTAATAATGCACAGCAATACCCACGACACAGTGCACCCATTACTTGGGGGAATGATGATCGGACCTCCAGCTCTAAGAAAGGTCCAATTTAAGGGAAATAAACACCCAAAACAGCAGCAATGACTCTTAACAAGAGGAGTACTCAGGAAAAGAAGCAGTAACTACCTTGTCTGGGCTAAAAAGGTTGGAATATACTTTAAAAATATACAAGGAATTGTGGGAGTATCCCATAACTTGGAAGTAGTTACAACCAAAGGGAAAAGGCTCTTTTTTGATACTGGGGACACAAAAGGGAGGGGTGGAGGGGTGGGAGAAGAGTCAGCAACTCACCATGGTTACCACACTCACCCTCCCGGATTGCCACTCTTGCCATAGGAGCTCAAATCTTAAACCAAGAAAAGATAAAACCTTCCATATAAAGGGACAATCCATACCATTGCTCATGCTGCCCTCCAGGCACACTAACAATCTAGCCAATGCTCTAAGGTTAACACCCATCTAAATGCTCTATTCACCAAGGATGTTAAGAGTCCACCCTCCAGTACAGTGAAAAAGCATTGCCAGTATTGCCCCCCAAACCCCAATATCTCCTCCTCAGAAACTTCTAAAATCAGACTTTTATTCTGGAGGGGCCTCATCCTCCACCAACAGAACCTCTTGGTAAAAGCATAATAGAACACCGACAAGAGCGATAGCCCTTTAAAGACACCAGTTATCTAAAAACCAGTTATGTAATGACTACTTATCTTTACTGGGAAATTATGAGTTAGGATTGGGGGGTGGTTTAACAGGGATTCTGCTCCCCAAAGTGTTGCTTAGGATGCTCTTACCAGATTCTTCATATGTAAAATGAGGTATAATGCTGATACTGGGCTGAGGCAATAAATTCAGAGTGAACCAACAGAATATGCTCTACCAAGAAAAGGGAAAAAAAACTAAAAAGATAATTGGGGAAATCAAAGGAAAGGATTTCTGTGCTAACAGGCATAAAAGTCTTAGGAGTTCCAAACTAAAGCCATGTGGTAGACACTGACCTAACTAAGGTAAAGCCTCTAAATCCCATGTATTCTCCATTTTAAGTCCATCACCCACAATGCTTCACCATCAACACCAACAGCTGTATCTCTACCCCAAACCCCTCCCTTTACTTATCCAACCTATTTTCTGCATACAGCCTGTGTTCAGCCCTCTTCCCAAAGAGGGTGGTTCACCTTGAAACTCTGTGTTGTCAAGGCCCCTGATGGCCTCCACTGCATCCTCTGCCCGCTCCATGTGTACGAAGGCATAATCTTTCACGATGTCACATTCGATGACTGGGCCATACTCCTCAAACTTGGCCCGAAGCTCTTTGTTGGTACAGGTGGGGCTGATATTGCCCACGTGCAACTTTGTGGAGGTTTTGCTCTTATTCTTGCTGGCTTCCACGTTGATGTTCACCCCGTGTAGCTTGTAGTGGTGCAGGTTGCGTATGGCATCCTCGGCCGCTGTCTTGTCCTCTATGTGCACAAAGCCGTAGTTCTTAATGATGTCACATTCCAGCACCTTCCCATACTGCTCGAAGAGTGAGCGGATCTCCTGCTCTGTGGCCTCCCGGGGCAGGTTTCCAATGAACAGCTTCACCATCTCGACACAGCCTGCATGGGAAGAAACAAAATTTCTAACGAAAGACCTAAGGCTCATGTCAATTAAAACCAAAAACTCTAGGAAATATTTCCAGTTTTCCCTTTCTCTTACATGCCCACCTCCACAGAACAATCAAAGGGAAGTGGGAATATGGAGGCCGACTACAGTACAAACTGCAGAACCCGTAAGAATGAGAAAATGTCTGTAACAGAAAGGTCCTTAGTAGACAAAGGGTTTGAAAAGAGCTGGAAAGCTTCTAACCAAAATGGAAATGAAAATGAGGGCATACATGCAGGGCTAGAGGTACTGGGCTTTTCTATCCACTGTGAGGTCAGAAAACGAAAGTCTAACTACTGGCTGGCTGAACTGTCTACTGAAATTATGAATTAGCTCTTCCTCTCGCAACCGAGCGAGTGGCCACCATTTCCGGAAAACTGGGCCTTATAATAGCTACGTTTTCGGGTTTCCTTTGGAAGAAGTGAACCGGAGACCCGGGCCAGAGAGCAAGGCATGAGGAGAGTACAGGAAGTGCAGGGCTGGGGAACGCCTCTCCCGAGGTGCCATCCTAACGAGCTCCTGCAGAATGGGGAAATGCGTGGCCAGAGAACGGGGCTTCAGACTCATCAGCCAGACAACAATGTCTCAGGGCCCAAGAAATTCTCGAAAAGGGCTTCAATTTTCCTGAGTCTAAGGAAAATGCGATTATCTATATGGAAACCTCAAGGCAGGAAACCGAGCCAAGTCGGGTAGAAGGCAAGGTGGGGAGAAAGGGTATTCTCGGGGGAGGTCGTGGGGGAAGGGCTGCTTCAGGCTTACCGCGCAATGCCCAGCACCGAGGTCGGCTCTCAGAGACGGGTGCGCAGGCCAATACCCCACTACGATACCTCTGAAGCCCAAAGGAGTGAGGTAAGATTTAACAGGGCAAAAAAAATCTGAGGGGCTTGGAGTCTCTCACCCGCACGGAAATCAGCAGGGTCTCTTCCTCGCGGCGCAGACGCTTCTGACAAAACGCTAAAATGGCGGCGGCCGCAGCAGTGACTCTGGGTAGAAGGGGAGGTGAGTGTACCACCGGATTGGCTGCTCAGTTAAGTTAAAGGCAGGCGTTCCCACAGATCCTCTTCCTGATTGGTTATCACCAACGCCAATTACCTGAGAGGCCGGGAAGAGGTGGAAACGTCAGTAACCCCGGAGCTTTTATGCGAATGCCAATGAGCGCCTATCTCGCGAAGCCGAAGTCACTGATTGGGCAAGAGGTCGGCGTGAGGGAGGAACTACAAACGTGGGCTTCGCCGGCGGGGTGCGGCCCGCCATTAGGCGAAGCGAGCTAGGGCCCCGGTGTGGCGGTCTTTAGCTTCGTGGCGCCAACTTTGTGAAGCTTCCACGTTTTGCCACCGACACGTGCACATCCTGACAGCATCCCCCGCTCCATTTTGCCTTCTCCAAATTTCGCCTTCTACACTCCCAACCACCAACCCCTCCAGCCAGGATGCTATACGATAGCTTAGACCCAAACGCCAGGAAGAAAAATAACGAAGCTTCCCCACCTGAAGAACCAACCTCCTCCTTTGCCCAAGAATCCACACCGTAGCCCTAGAAGTCCCGGAGCTCCCCTCGCATCAAAACTACTGTCATAGATGGTCAAAGGAATTCTGGAAACGGTTAATGGGCGCGGCTTCAATTAGGTTATAACGGCCCCGAAGTTGGCCCGGGTGGAGGCTGCGTTACTCAGGAGGCGCTGAGACCAGTTCCCGCGAGGAACCAGTCTCCCGGGGTGGGTCCAAGATGAAGAAACGGCTTCTCTGTGCGACCTTGGAGATTGAAAAGGCCCCCACCCCGCCCTGAGAAAAAACTGGAGCAGCGAAAGTTTTTTGTTTTATTTTATTGGGCGCCATCAGCCAGAGCTGTAGGTTTAAACTCCTAGAACCGACCTTAGAGGAGCCTAATCACATCCAGCTATAAACAAAATACAATCAAAATAGCATTCTCCAGAGCGTCCGGCTCCCTCATCACATTTTCTTTCTCATCCTTTGGCTTCTTCACATAATCCCATATTCTTTGAGCAAGCAATGACCCTTTGCGAGGCAGCTTTTGAAGAGAGAGTTAAAAGCGGGAGTGGGGAAAAGTGCTGGATGAAAGAACTTAAAAGCAGTGAGGTTATCTATGAGGAAAGGGATCATGAGTGAAGATGACATAACATACAACCGTCCAAAGTAGCCCCAGAAAGGGGGGTGGGGGCCATAAAAAGAAAGGAGTCAAAGTTGTGGAAATGAGTTTTAAAACCGGACATGACTCAGGAATCAAATGGTGGAAATCTGGTCAAGACTTATTCTAGGGTGGGAAGAGCAAAGGACCTAAAAACATCAAAATATTTACAGATGTGGTGGTCACTAATCGTGGTCCGTTTTCATTGTGGATTTTGATACTGAAACTCTGAGACTGAGTAAAGGCCATATAATCCGTGATGAAGAAAATCAATTCCGTGTTAGTCAGCTGTGTGTGTGTGCCCTTTTAAAGGGGCCAGCCATCAGATGAGGGTCACCACTCGATCTGCAGGGAAACGCATCTGGTATAGAAATTCTCTCAGCTCCTTTCAGTTTGATCTTCCAAATTTTGTGTGCCCCAACAGCCCTGGAGATAAACTTTCTCCCAAAATACCAAAGCAGATGAGATCCACTCACTCTATAAACTAAGAATCTCTCCAGGTCCAAAGGGGAGAGGACTGGGAATATAAATCTCAGGATCACAATCCATGCCAGTTTGCTGACCACAGCCTCCCCTCGCCCCGCCCCCAACACTCTCAATCTAATTAATTTACCTTCTGAAAGCCTTTAAGGTGGAGTAATAAGTCTCATTTTGCAAGCTCATCCAACTGAGTAAAAGCACATTAAATCATCACCTGATTCTTAAAACCCACTGCGAATGGAAAATTTTCAAATTCACCCTGGTTCTTGCCAGAATCTCCCAATCTCTTTAACAAACACCCACCCCACCCCCACACACACACTATGCTCCACCCCCACACACCCCAAACCCCAACTATGCTCCAGTACACTGGCCTTTTTGTTCCAAGTTCATTCAGACTGGAATGTTCTTTCCCCAAGGTCCTTCAATGGCCAGCCCATCTAAAGACATCCCCCTACTCCAACCCTACCTTGGAACTCCATGCCATGACTTCATGTTATTTTTCCAAATACTTACCACCACTTGAAATCCTATTTGTTCATTCCATCTATTTCTCCTACCTCCCTCCCTCCCCCATCAAATACTTGTTCAAGGCAGGGATCTTTTCTTCTTCCCTACTCTATCCTCAATGTTAACTGCACCTGGAACATGGTAGACAATTATTTGTTGACTAAGTTAACACAAGGGTGAATGAATGCAAGACTTAACTTCTTTTGGAAACCAAAAGGAGAAATACTTTGGATTTTCAGTCAGTATCAGCTTAAGACCATGGACCCTTAGTTCTAAAAACAAGAAGCACTTTTACCCTTATTACCCAGTACGCTTTCCAGTCTCCCTCAAACAGAAAAAGCAGGTGCCCTAAAGCCAGGGGGTAACCTATGCTACAGCTTTTGATCATCAGGATGACCAGCTTGACAAATGCTAAAAAAATGAAGCTTTAGGTAGAAAGATCTGTTTGTAGTTCAAGCATCTCCATACTAATGTTAACCTATCCAACTCTATTTTACTGAGTACTAAAGAAGCTTAATATTCATTCCTTAAAAACCATTAAGGTTTATAAATTAAAAACATCTGGTCTAAATCCTCTACCTTACCAACCCAACTATGCAAAACAATTGAATGCAGAGTTTTAAAAGCACCGTGTCCAGAACACTTTAGATGCCATTTGGGTGATTTTTAATTTGCTGATCAAGTTACCAAGCACCTAAAAGGTAAAGTGACTTGTCCAAAGTCATCTAGAAAGCTGATATCTGTCATAGCCAAGCATAAATATACATTATTCTCACTGCAGATCTTGAAAAGACAAAAGTGCCTGGAGCCTGGACTCTTGGAAGAGAAATAAGGGAAAAATCCAAACTTGGGGGACGGGGAGAAACACTGATGTCAGTGAAAACCATTCAAATGTGAATAAACAATCTATTACTTTCACACCCTTAGGGGTGAATATATGTAATTTATACATATTAATAACTCTGGCTCCTGTCCAGAAATGAGTTACTGGTTTAGTAAGAGCACAAATTAAAAACCAGTATTCTCCAGGGATGTCCAGACTGGCCTTCCTTGACTAGGCCAGTCAAGCAAGCTTCCTAAGCTTCCAATTCCACTGGCAGCTACACTCTCTTACCCTCCCCTTACTGTCTTTGCAGGTTTCCTACCCCATACCTTTCTTTTCCATACCCAAGGAGAATCTGATCTCAGGACACTGAAGTGTTGCCTGAGACTGGAAGTGACAAAAATTGGTGTGGCCCATGTCCTACTTCACTCCTAGGTACCACTCATTTAAAAAATCCAATGCTTCACTGTTATTCATATGTGCTGCACTCACTCACACCTACATCCAAAGTCCTTTGCTCAGATGTGTGCTCCACTAGGCCAACCAATCTCCCCAGAATGTTCTAACTCATGTCTGTGAGATAGCTAGCATTAAAGAGCAGTGGCTATTTATGAGGTCCTACACTTGACACATGTTCTCATTTGATCCTTCTACAGTATTATGATTACAAGCAAAGTCCTGGATAGTTAATTCAAAATACTGATTCAATCCCTTGATCTACTTTCCAACTATGTGATCTTAAGAAAAGTTATTTAACCTACAGCCTCAACTTCTCATTTATAAAAGAGGTTTAAAAATACTTAATGGCATTTGGATTACAATGAAGATCAAATGAAATTCCTGTAGGAAATGCACTTTTAACGATGCTTAGCAAGTGTTCAATAAATGTTAGCTATTACCTTCATTTTATAGATGAAAAAACTGAGGCAGAGTTCCTGACATGTCCAAGATCACACAGCTAAGTGATAGAAACATGATTCAAACTCAGGAAACCTGATTTTAGAGCCAACACCCTTAGTCATTCTCTCTGTGCCAAGTCAATTTTCCAACCAAACAAATCCCATTTCCAGAAAGTTTTAACTAGTGGAACTGCCTCTTCCTCATCTTCCACTACCCTAGTATTGTTTAACTGTAACTAGTTCATTGAGGTAGGTCCTTACTCCCCAGATTATAAATTCAAGGCCAGCACAAGGGCTCAGCTACTTGAACACTGTATTTCCAGTACTAGAGACACACAATATTCCAAATGATTTAGAGCTGTACTTGAAATAATTTTAAGAACTCTTTTTTTTCTTGGAATACTCTAGATTCTACCCTTTATGATCTCTCTAAAGATAAATGTAAAACTTAGGTGAATATAAATCTTTCACCTGCTCATCTTTTTTTTTTAAAGATTTTATTTATTTGAGAGAGCGAGAGCACAAGCGGGGGGGGGGTGGTAAGGCAGAGAGAGAGGGAGAAGCAGACTCCCCGCTGAGCAGGGAGCCCGACGCAGGAGGCTTGATCCCAGGATCCTGGGATCACAACCTAAGCCGAAGGCAGACGCTTAATCGACTGAGCCACCCAGGCGGCCCTCACCTGCTCTCCATCTTATCTTCTCTATTACCCAACCTTCTATTATATACAGTCCATAAATCTAGGAAATTTATTTTCATTATGACCTCAGTCATCCCCTATTACGGTCAGCTTACTTGGCTTGATAGGACAAAATGACTGGAGAACCAACAGTCTATGCAAACACTGGTAGAGCTTAGGTGATTGGGCATGACTAGAAAAGCAGCCTACCCAGAGGCTGACCTCTCAGGGACAGTCCCATTACCTCCAGTACAAGGGATGGGGCCCCAGGCCTATCCCAGACAGAATTTGAAACAAAGTCCAAACCTCAGAAGAGAGCAGACTGACAAGGTTAGAAGCCTCTATGTGATGTTGTTCCAGGAATAAA